TGATTTATGTAGTTTGGAAGCATAATACATGGGTTTATATAGGCTTTTTCTGAAATATAGTTGTTATTTTTGTTTTCTGGTGCAGGGGGATCGATTTCCAACTTTTCTAGAATGAGGAAATCGATTCCCAGGAAGAGGGAATTGATTCCCATCCCTATTAAAAGGTTGGAAATTTGGCCAAAAACATTTTTCCTTGATTCAAATGGATTTCAATCACGTTCAATCATTTGATAAACACTTGGAAATATATTTTCATGAATATGAGATGCTTAGAATAATTTTTCTGAGAATTCAACACCAAATGGTGATGTAATGCATGTGTTTTGAAAATCCTTTGAGCTTTTTCGTGCAAGTTGTCAATTACCTTCACATTTAAGTCTAAGTCTTAAAAGTGTGCTACTTATGGGCTCTCGGACTTAGAATCTTTTCTTGTAGCTTGAATCTTAATCTCCTTTAAACTTTGTAAATTGTCTTGATGGACTTCACATTGGTTGGTTGTCCCCTTAGACTTATTTTTAATTGTTGCAAGTTGTAATGTAGAAGTTTTCTTTTCATGCTTGTTTTTTCATCATCAAAACTCTTGTATCTTTATATTTTTCACCCTGAGTGCATTAGTTCCACGCCTGAGTTACTTGAAAAGAACCCAAATAATGCTTTATCTAATGAAGAATCAGCATTTATTGTCAGAGTATATGTTGATTCAGACTTTACATGTGATCTTGATTAAAGAAAATCTACTATAGGCTATGTGTTTACAGTTGCAGGAGGAGTTGTAAGTTGGTTATCCAAATCAGAATAAGAGCTCTATATATTACAAAAATTGAATATATGATAAGTACTCAAGCTTGCAAGGAAGCAATTTGGATTCAAAGGTTAATGGAAGAACTCAGGCACAAACAATAGTCAATAATTGTGTATTGTGACAGTCAGAGAGCCTTGCACATTGCAAGGAATCCAACCTTTCATTCAAGGACAAAGCACATAAGAGTACAATATCCCTTTGTTAGAGAAGTATTAGAGGAAGGGAGTGTGGATATGCAGAAGATACACACCAAAGAAAACTTGATAGATGTCATGACAAAATCAATCAATGCTAAAAAGTTCATATGGTGTCGATCCTCCTATAGTCTATTAGAATCGTAAATAGCATGGAATTGGCACGAGAGGAAAGATTTTGAAAGACACACCAAAAGTGACTTTAAGTGGGAGATTAATATATGCAGTGATATGGCTAAAGCCACTTTTGGTGGACGATGGCCGAATATAGAATAGTGTAGTGCAATTCAAATTGCACACGAATTAAGAAAAATGGATTAATGTTCTTACACGTAAAAATGGATTAATGTGTTTACGCGTTAAATCTTCGGCCTCTAAATAGAACCCATTGCCAATGGTTTCTAGCATCCCAAAATCCCAAAGTTCAAGAGTGTTTCTTTACATCCTAACTTATAGAGAAAAACACCAAGTGTTCTTGAGTGTTAATTTGAGTGAAGTGTATTCTACTAGTATAAGAGAGAGTGATATTATACTCTTCTTATATGTAGAGAGAGGTTATACTTTCTTTCACTTATGGGGGTGTATTAGATTGAGATTTCAAAGGATTTTAATGGATTATTTTTGGACAAAAAAATCCATTGGTATTCAATTAGGATTTTAATGAATTAAAAAAAAGTCATGTGGTATTCGATTAGGATTTTAAAAGATTATTTTAGAGTCCGTCCAAATCCGTTGGTATTCAATCAAGATTTTAAACAATGGAAAAACAATCTTGTGGTATTAAAAAATATAACGATTTTAATGGATTTTCTATTGTGTGGATTTCATGAGACTTTTTTTGTAAGAAATATAAATAGGATGACTCTATCACAATCTCACCATAACCTCTGGATTTCTTGAGATTTCTCTATTGTAGTGTCTTCTTCTTCCTTTGGCAGGTTGACCCGCTCGAAATCGGGTTCTTCCATGGGAGCTTCGTCAAAACTCAAAAATAGCATACTTTTGAACGATTTTCATCACAAACAAACCTAGAAACAACAAACCAACGAGATTTTAATATAATGTATCTAAAAAATAGCATGTTTTTTTAGCCATTTTTGAGAAAATTTTGAAGTTTAAAAATTGATTTTTCAAACTATGGGTCATGGCTTTTCTTGGCACAAAAAAATATGATTTTTGTATTAAAAACAACATAAAATAGTGGGAAAATAATAGGGGAACTAAAATCCTCACACCAATTTTCGTTTTACATCAATAAAATAATATCAATTTAAAGAAAGATTGAGACTTTCATAATATGAACCCTATATTTCGTAATAATACATTCATGAACGAAATTCCTTCACTATAGCAAACGATTTCAAACAATTTTTGTGTTAATAAATAACTAAAAACTTATTTTTCAAAAGCCTCAAAGAAATTTAAGGTTTCAATGTAACGATTGAAAAAGTTTTGAGAAATTTTCTAAACTTTCATGTAATAAAACCCAAAAATTCAGATTAGAAATTTTCTTAGAATATTCAATCAAAACATGCATATGATATATGGTTATAAAACTCTCATCACAATTTATCAAAAAAGAAAAAACACTCATCACATAGAACAAAAGACCCAAGGTTTTGAAGATCAATTGCGAAAAATTCCAAAAGAAAATTTATCATGAACTTTAGGTTCTATATGCAAATTTAGAATTATTTTAATAAATAAAATTTTTTGGGTCTTATAATCATATATGCATAACTTTGATACCAAATGAAGAAGATAATTTTCAATGGTCAAACCGAAGAGTAGGAACGAGAAAATGATAATGCATGGAGGATTAATATAACTTTAGATATGTGAAAAACTGTTGCTTAGTAATTTTAAATCTTTGTTAAAAATTATATTATGTTTTACTGATTGAGAAAATTATATTAGATTTTTCTTTTTTTTATTAATTTCATTGCATTTCTTTGTTATTTTTTTTATTGACTCTTGTAATTTTGTATGTTTGTTAAAAATTCATATGGTTTCATCCACCAAAAAAAAAAAAAAAATTCATATGATTTTTTAAAATCTTATAAATCCATATTGTCCTTTCAAATCTTATAAATTCTATTAATTAAAATCGTTTAAAATTCAATCTTATGAAATCTTGATTGTAAAAAAAGTCTTTTAAAAAAGTTTTTAAAGTCCCTTCAATTCTAAATAGTCTTTTAAAATCTATAAAAAAAATATCTCAAAAAAATCTTTTAGAATCCTAATCCAATACATCCCTTGGTGAAAATCTTCTTTGATCTTTTTCGTGATTTTTTTTTCTATTTGGGTTTTCCGCATAAATCTTATTTGTTACTTCAATTGACATATTTGTTTATTTCTTGATCGGTGAAATTAAGTTAAAATTAATTACACTATTAGTGTTTAGAAAAGTGAGTGATTATTGAATAATCACCGTTATATAACGCGAAGAGTCTCCCATTGTATTTACACTTACCGGCCAATTGGTGTAGTTAACATTGTGTTGAAATTTCTGTTTCTGTCAACTCCATTTTAGTTTATAATACTCTGTTACCTAATATTTGTATTTTCCTATAAAAGTTTAACCACTTAATGACTATGTTATAGTTAGGTTATTGTTGTCTGTATATATCATAATGTTTCATTAGTAAGGATGACAGACAATATTGCGGTGAAGGACCATATTAATTGACGATCCCACTCGATGAATCAAATTATATAAAAATTTATAAGATTTAAAAATAAAAAAACTTAACTGTAACACGTTGGGAAGTGCCAGTGGTGGACACAAGGATTGAATAAGAGGGGCAATTGCCTCTTTCTAATTTCATAAACCTTTAGTTTAGATTGCATTGAAAGTTAAAAGAAATGTATTATAGTATAACTTCGTTCCCGTTTATAGTTATTATTAAGGGGGAAAAGAATCTTTAATACAAGTTTGGATTTTGTTTAGGCCCTGTTTGGTTCAGGAGATTCTATAATTTTGCTAGGAAAATGAACTTGGCAATCCAGCTTGCCTTTGTTTGGTACACAGGTTTGCAAAGTTGTCCATGTATCCTATTTGCATGGTATGTCTCCTTTTGGTCGATGAAAGATGGGCATTTGCATTGTTTAAAAAGCCAACTTGGACGTGGGTTTTTGGTGATAGCCATCTAAATTGAAAAGTACAAAATTGAAGCTCCCCAAATTACCCTCGTTGTGTGGTCAGCAGCACCCCACTTGGTTTTTTTGAAGAAAGAATCTTGTTTTTGTAAAGTGAGGGTTAATTTTGTAAACTCGTACACATTTTTCCATCTATATATTACTTACACCCAAACATAGACTTTATAAAAGTTACCTAATTTCTCTAGTAAAATTTTTTCCTACCAAACAACTTTTTTTTACATTTTCCTATCTATCTCACTTTATTTCACTTTCTTACTATTTCCCTATCAATTACATTTACCTAGTATTCAAAAAATTTCTCATTAACTAAACGCCCCCTTAATGACTTACAAAAAAATTTATCTGTAAAATTTTGTGTAAATATGAAAAATTATTTTTTTCTCTTTTCCCAATTATATTAATAACATATAAAGTGAAAAAAAAAATTAACTTTTCATATTTATACAAAATCTCACACATGAAACTTTGTGTAACTTATTGAAATAACACGAGCTTATATCTTTTCGAAGTACAGCGTAAAGAAAACATAACGAATTTTTTAAATCTAATTAGGCATCAATCTACTATAATATTATTTTAATTATTTTTTTTCTCAACCCTTTCACAAAAATTTCTTACCATTTCCTTAAAAAAGTGTGGTCAAAGTCCAAAACCTTCATATTCATACCCTTATCAGGTTTGCACAAAAAAAGTCTTTCTTTATTGAAGCTTTTTGACCTTGCATTGCGTGTTCAAATCTTCTTACAAGCTACACACGTGTCTTTCTGAAGAATGTTAAATTCAATTATTTGTTACTTTCTTTCATTAAAAAAAAAAAAAACTCTAATGCTCTTACCATCATCCCATCCATTTTCTACCACGGGTACCAACTGATTCCTGATTCTAATTTTCCATTCATATTCACTCAGCCATAACGATGAGTGCCTTCTTCCCTCGATTCCCCTTTCTTTTTCTCTTCCCTCTTTGCTTTGCATCATTTGCTTTTGGAGCCACTCTGCAAGAAGATGAAGGTACATAATGTGATCCCAATTTTTTTCTTTGATTTAGTGTTGTTTTTGGTTTGGTTATTTCACGGAGTTAATTAAATCTTCCTACATCAACATGTCTACGTATGTGTGTGTGTGTGTAATCAGTGCAAGCTCTGAAAGACATAGGTAACACAATTGGGAAGAAAAATTGGGACTTCAGTGTAGATCCATGTAGCGGAAAGAGTAACTGGAGGTCGCTTGCTCAATTGCAAGGATCAGAAAATGCTGTCACTTGTAATTGCTCTTTTGCCAATCACACTGTTTGCCATGTCGTCAGCATGTATGTCTCTCTCTCTCTCTCTGTGTGTGGATTATTTCTTGGAAGATGCTAAATGTGAAGATATATTTTTTTTTGGTACATTAAGAATTTTTCTTTATCGTTATATGAAGCAACTAATGAAAGAGAACTTAATTTTAATGGAAGTTTAGTTGGTGCCATATAACGGAGTAGATCAGATGAAAATATCTATTCGATTCTCGTCGGACTAGTCACGAAGTAATTAACTAATGGAAGTATCTTAAAAAAAAGAAAGAAGAAACTTAATTTTGTAAAGTTTCGTAAAAAAAATGTTGAGAGGTTAACGAACGATATTGTATTATTCTTAATTTTTCATTTTAATAATTTTGGTGCAAAGTGGCATAAAGTCTATTTTTTTTTTTGTCATTTGACATTCATTATAAAGAAAATAGAATATCATACTGTTTTTAAATTTTAAATTAAATAATAGAATTTTATCGAATTTTATCAAATTTTCTTTAATATTTAATATAAAGTATATAATTTAAAAACTAATATAATTACTCTCTTTTTAGATCGAATACACAATTGTCACCCTTGGTTCTTATCTTATACTCCGTGTGCAATAAGACAAATTGATCACGCCGTTCGGTAAAACTTGAATTTCTTTATCGATGTCGGCTGGCTGACCGACGCAGTGGTATTGAAAATATAATAAACAGTAAACATGATTGAATGTTCAGAGTTCTAACAAGGTGGCGAATAGCACATAGAATTTTCAAAAGCAGCAGTTTTGATTGTTATAAATCTGTATATATTTGACTATTTAAAAAGAAAGTTGTTATTATTTTGAAAACAATTTCTAGCATTTTGTTGTTCGATTCAATTATAAATTCTGTATGTTCTTCGGAATCGAGAAGAGTGAACAAATGTATATATTATAGAGAGCTTACATTCACCCCATAAATAAAATAAAAAAAGCGTCTGTCAGGACATAACTTCTAACTTCTAACCCACCCTTGACTTTATACGTTTTGAAAAATATTATAAGTTTAGATTCATTAATAGTTTTCCTAGAAATAAGGCCATCAGCCTATTTTAAAATGTCTATTCTGTATTTTTTAATAAAATAATATTTTTATTTTTTTATTTTTTCCAACCTTTTTCCTAAATTCTTACACTCCCTCTAATGTAATTTCTTACCCAAAATTATAATTCTAGTCCTTTTGGCAAAAAGGCAACAAAATTTGGATCTTTTAAATGTATTATCCTTATCTTTTGTCTTTGCCTTTTGCCATCATCACAATTTCCCCTTTCGTTGAGTGTGATTATGTTGTACATGAATAAGTGAATATTTTTCTCTGTTTTAAAATTTAATTAAGCCTTCTGCATCCTTAACATTATTTTATTTTTGATTTGTAGTAATTAAATTGTTAATATTTTGGGTTGGGTTATGGCTTCAACTTAAACATACAAAAGAAACAAAGTGATTATAGAGTCTAATACACCATTTTTGAAGGCATGGTAAGCTTCATAACCCAGACCAAGTCTTGTAGTTTTTAAAACCTAGTTAGACCAAACCAATAATTTAGTTTAAGGGAGAGGTTATACTTCCTACCTCTTTTTCTTACTACCTTTTACTATCAAATTTTAACCGTTGATTTTTGCCAACCTAACGGTTATAATTTATTGAAAATTAATAATTAATTAATAAGTTTGACCCAATAAATTACAACTGTTAAATTGACGGAAATCAACCATTAAGATTTAGTAGTAAGAGGTAGTAAGAAAAAGAGATAGTAACTACAACCTTCCCCCATCAAGGAGATGTTATACTTACTACCTTAGTTTAATTGTACGAAACTAATAAGTCAAGACAGACATAAAATATTGGGAAATTTTTTTTTGCAATTAAGGCAGAAAAGTTACCTGCAGTATACTATGTACTACAGGTAGTACATAATGTAACTTTTGAAATCTAAAAAAAAAAAAGAATTCATTTCAAAAGTTACACTTATACTATGGGTAGTATATAGTGTAGAGTTCATTTCAAAAGTTAAACTATGTATTACCCGTAATACATAGTGTACTGCAAATAATTTTTGTAACTGCAGAAAAGTTAAACCCTAAAATATTTTACATAAAATTTAATTTTTTTAGGTTAAAGTCTGTCTTAACATGATTGATTTACACCCCTACTAGTACACTTCCTTATTACTAATATTGTTTTGGCAGTAAATTGACATATAAATTTATGATAAATTACATTAACATTTATGGATTTATGCATAATTTAATTACTTTGTGTAAATTACGTTTTTGTGCAACTACAACTTCTTTTACAAAAAATATATTTGACATAAACTTCTAACAAATTTTTTTATCAATTATTGAATAATCATTATGCTCGAGTTTTCTTTTCTTCAATGTTTTAAATTTTACAAAATCTACGAGTATAATAAGTTTCATTCAAACGAAATTAAACTATTTCACTGTATTATAGTGATTATATTGTGCACTACATGAGATGCTTCATCTTTGTTTTTTGATTTTTATTTTTAAGGACTGATAGTGCTGTAATTTCTAATTTTCTAGCCGAGTAATGTTACATAATCAAAATTTTGATATGATTCAGCTAAATTTTAAGATATATGTGTAATGAAAGATAGTAGTAAAAATTACTTAATTATTTAACAATAACCAGCTTGGTAATTACTTTAAAAAAAATATCTTGACAAAAAATATTATAGCTATGTAATATTTTTTGTTTCTAGGCAGACCTTAAAGAAGAAAAATTGAGAAGAAAAAAAACAAAAACAAAAACAAAAACACACATACACACACACAGAGGAAGGGGGCGAGGGGTAGAGTTAGAGAAAAGTCCATTTTGGTGATTCTGCGTTAACAGGTTTCATGGTTTTTTATGGCTATACAGTGTTTTGAAAGCTCAAAATCTTTCGGGTAGTCTCCCCCCCGAGCTTGTGAGGTTGCCTTATCTCCAAGAAATGTATGTATAATTAATGTAACTCTAACTTTCACTGCTACTTTATATAGTTTCATTCACTTATATTTGATTGATTCTTTCTCTTTTTTACAGTGACCTCACCCTCAACTACCTTAATGGTACAATCCCTAAACAATGGGCCACCTTAAATCTTGTCAACATGTAACATATCTCTCTCTATTCATTTAGTGGCACTGTCAATTTTTCTTCCTCATGCATGAATAGACCCAAAAAAATAAAAAAATAAAATAGAAAATAAATAATATTATTTGATTAGGAACTCTTTTGAAGTTTATTTGTTGATATTTTATGGTTGGCAGAATAAATGGGATGGAATGAAATGGAATAAAATTACCCTACCATTGTTTTGATATTTTATGATATATTTGAGTAAAGGGAATTGGACAGAATGGTAAGAGTATAATTTTATTAGAATGGTTCTATATCATTCCTCCCAAATTAGGTAGAAGAAAAATAGAGGTAATGGATGGAATGAAATGGAATAGATTCCTTCAGGTTCCATTTCATTCCATTCCATTATATTTTAAACAATTCAAACAAATGGCAGCTAATGAAATTCATTTCCATTTCCCTCCTTTTCATTTATCTACTTTTTTTTTTTTTTTTTTAATAAATGTAGGTGTTAATAGTTTATCTTGTAGTTATTTCCTGAAACATGACTGATGAATCTAATTGCTCTTGTTTTCCTTTTTGTAAGTTCCTTTTATGGAAATCGTGTAACAGGTCCAATACCAAAGGAGCTTGGAAACATCACCACTCTCAAAAGTTTGTAAGTTTCTGGTTTTATACATTTCAATTTGTCTTTTTGTGTGTGTGTGTGTGTGTGTAAGTTTTAGAGGAACTTAAATTCAAATGGATAGGGTATTGGAGTTCAATCAATTATCAGGAAATCTTCCTCCAGAACTTGGGAATCTTACCCACCTTGAAAGACTGTAAGTCCTTTATATTATTCTGGCATTTTCAGAATAGTCACGGTATTACTTTTAATTTTACTGATTGATATTAACTTTTGAAATACTACATCTTTAGTGTTCATTTTGTTGATCATTTGATGCACATTCTAAGCCTTCAATTGATTATTTGGTGCTTTTTTAGGCTTCTTACCTCCAATAATTTCACTGGAGAGTTACCTGCAACATTTTCTAGCCTTACTACATTGAAGCATGTGTAAGCTTCTTGCTTTCATTTTTCTTTTATCATGCAATGTCTGTATTGTTAGTTGTCAAGGACCAATTCTCCTGAAACTTAAGCGGTTAGGTGTGAACTCTTGATCATTCTTATACTAAGTCAAGGATCAACTCTTAAAGCTTAAGCTATTATATGAAGACTTATGATTGGTTTTATATCTCTAATATTTTTTTTTTTTCTGAGCTGATAGTAACTTTTTTTTGTGTGGCTTACCCTCCTATAATGCAGTCGAATTGGCGACAATCAATTCTCTGGAGCACTACCCAATTTTATACAGAGCTGGATAAATCTTGAGATACTGTGTGATTTTTTTTTTTTCCTTTTTCTTTCTTTAACTTTAGTTGTTTTAAATTGTTGTTTCACATATTGTCATTCTATCTGAAGCAATTTTTTTCCATATATATTTTCACAGCGTGATCCAAGGGAGTGGTTTGAGTGGGCCATTTCCTTCTGGAATTTCAATTCTGCGAAACCTTACTGATTTGTAAGTGTGGTGCTTTTTAATGTAACCAAGATTTCAAAATCAACTTATTTTCCTTATTGTGTGAATCAATGCTTAAAATATGATATGCAGGAGAATTACTGACTTGAATGGATCTGATTCACCTTTTCCACAACTTAATAATATGACAAATTTGGAAACACTGTAAGTTGTCTGATTTTATGACTATTATTTTCCCTATTTGAGTTAATGTCTCAATAAGAAAATGTTTTATGGGATAGAAAATAAAGAGATGCTCATGTCTTATTGCTAACACAACTTTACATATTGTTTGATTGGTTGCCAGAATATTGAGGAGTTGCAATATTATTGGAACCTTGCCTGAATATCTTGGAAACTTGACTAGTCTGCAAGTATTGTAAGTGCTGCTTTATTTTCTTTTCCTTTTTGTTTTCTTGATGATAATAACTCTTGCTTTTTAATGAATTTTTTTAATATATTAAGAAACTTCTATAATTCTTGCATTTTGCACTCATTGATTCGATGAAGAACTTCAACATGCTTGTTTCATTCACCACATTATATTGGAGCTATATTTTATGTTCCCCTAATTTGACTTTCCTCTTGTAAAGATCATATTCGGGATATAATTTCTTTTTCAGGGACCTCAGCTACAACAAATTAAGTGGACCAATTCCGAGCAGTTTTGATGGTCTACAGAACATGAATATGCTGTAAGAAATTTTCTCTAGTTTCCTGTATGATTACACCAAAATAAATTCTTACATTTCTCAGTAGTTTGATAGCACTATTCTATTTCATTTGATAGCTTCAACTTTTAGTTTGGAATTTGTAAAAGGTTATACTGGGCTGTTTAGTATTGTGACATTCTAAATGCTAACTGCCAATCTGTTTGTTCGAGATTGGTTTTTCCATAAATTTTTTTATTTGAAATACAGACATATATCCATCATTTTCGGTCAGATAATTATGTTCCCACTTCTTTGTTAGGGAAAAAACAATATTAAAATCAACAAAAATTGGAGAGGAAAAGGAATAAGGGGAGTTAAGGAGATCAGACAGAAATATTGGGGGACCGGAACTATTGTCATTGATTTATGTTAGTTATTGAATTAAATCAATATTGGAGTGGTCAAACCAGTTAAGTCAATAGAAGATTTCTTGGGGACGGTTCATATCATTTGGGATAGAGTATACTAGCCTATTTACCACTTTACTGGTTTATCATTATTTTCAGTTCTATGAATTGATTCCTTGATATTGATTTTACTAGATTTTTAGCTGGGAATCTTCTCACAGGATCGCTGCCTCAGTGGATAGATAAACCAGACTTTGTGTGAGTTAGCTTCCAAATGGTACCTATGTGATTTATTGTTTAGATAATTTAAATATTTTGGTCCGTGAAATGGTACACTTGCACTAATTATTTGTTTCTTTTCTGTCTATCAGCTTTTGTCCTGGTGCATTTAGTACCACATGTATATAAAAATTCTAACCTCATCCTTAGGAGGAGGTCAGAATCCTCCAATCTTTTCATTGGACAGAAATAGAACTCTCATGAGTCATATGTATTAGAGACGAATAATCTTTGATTGGATTTGGATAAGTTTTATAGAAAAAGAAATTTCAAACTTGGACCATTCATTGTGATTTCATCTTTGCATCTTGACAGAACCACTTTTCTCCCTGGCCTCTCTTTGTAGTTTGCATGTAACAACCATATGACAAAAACAAAGATTTAAATATGAAAAAACAAAATTCAATTTTTTGATAGTGTGACATACCATAGACATTTTTTTTTCTTCATTTAGCATCTTGTAGGCTGTAGGGATTTCTTTTGTAGATAAACTGAATCATTTGGATAAAAAGTGATTCAAATCAGGTATAGTAATTTTGAATATAAACTAGCAGAAAAAAGCCACTGTGCTGTTTCCTACTATTCTATTAGTTATTATAAGATGAATATCATTGACGGCCACCCTTGTGAAGGTTTATTCTATATTAATGCCTTGTCAGACCTTAAACTGATGATAGAGCAACTTTAGGATTCTTTCTGATACTTTTTTTTTTCATGTTGCAAGAAAGAAGAAATAATACAACATAGGAGGAGGAGATCCTTATTTACTAAGGGCCAACTCTCCTAAAAACTTAAGCTAGCAGGTGAAGTGACATGAAGTGTAAATAGAAAAAAAGAAAAAAAAAACAAGTTAGAGAGGCTTGAACATTGAAAATCTTCTTTAATATCAGATAGAGAAATTTCCAAAAAAGAAACCATCAATTGGAGTGACCTAGGGGAAGACATAAATAAACAGAGTCTTATTACATAACGGTTTGGTGGAAAATACACTAACCGTAACCAAGACAATAACTCCAGAAACAATATTCGAAGGAATAGTGCACTCCCACTCACTCCAAACAACCCCCAACTCTTGAGGCACACCCTGCTTCATAACTGTCCTATAAGGTTTTAGATGCCCACCAGGCCCATCATTACTGTTGAGATATATAAAACCATTAATATAGCCTCACCCAATAGTTTAAGCTTTTGGGTTGAAGTGGTTCTTTACATGGTATCAAAGCTTGGTGTACCGGGATCAATCCTCACCGCCCCCCACATTCTTTCTAGTGGAATTTCTTTCTTCGCACAGGTAGGTGGGCCTGTGCTTTATCCACCCTTCAAGCCCAGTGGGCTCTCGTGTGAGGGGGCGTGTTGAGATATATAAAACCATTAATGTAGCCTCACCCACAGCTTAAGCTTTTGGGTTGAAGTGGTTCTTTACAATTACATAATAGAACTAAAGGGCGAAGAGTCTCCCTTGAGCATTCTTTTCCAATGAAATATACTGTTACTATCCTATTGCAAGGTATGGGACTTGGAGTCTCGTATTGGAAACTGTAAAGAACCAATTCAATCCAAAAGCTTAGGTATGGGACTTGGAGTCTCGTATTGGAAACTGTAAAGAACCAATTCAACCCAAAAGCTTAAGCTGTTGGATGAGGTTACATTAATGGTTTTATATATCTCTAACACGTCCCCTCACACGAGAGCCCACTGGGCTTTTAGGGTGGATAAGGCACAGACTCATTTATTATTTATTAAATGAGGAGCGATGAGGATCGAACCCGTGACACCGAGGCTCTAATACCATGTAAAAGTTTAAGCTGTTAGATGAGGTTGGCTTTATGCTATTCTTTTACTAGCCCTGTGCTAATACTGCAATGCCAGCGTCACTACCCACGCCGCTCGATTGCAACTGGGAGACATAGTGAAAGACTCTGATACCAATTGATACGAACCTTGGGGGAACCTAACTCCAAAAGCTAGCTCAAGAGGTAAAAGAGCTCAAAGTCCATATAAACCCCACATTAGTCACCCATATAACCAATGTGGGATTCCAAATCTCATACCTTGGAATAGGATCGTAACATTCTCCCAAGGATCGTATCATACACCAAACAACATAAACTTCATACTTCCATAAAGCTTCACCCTCCTTGTTCGTGCCAAAAAGCTTGAACTTCACCATAAGAAACTGCTCCATATTCAAGAACTCACCTCATGTTCGCCAAAACTTCAATTTGATTATTCTGTCAGGAAGTAGTAGGTCTAAAATATAAAAAAAAAAATGGCAATGTTTTTTAAGCTAGCACCACACATAACACAAAAAAAGAAAGAAAAAGAGTTGTGTGAGTCCTAGAAATCTATAGCATGTCAATACTTTTATTTCTGTAAAGTATTTCTGTACAAACGGAAGAATTTACACCACATTAAGTGGTGTTAGCTTAAAAAGCATGAAGGATATCTATTATTATTAGTTACACTACACCACATAAACACATGGCAGAATTTTTATCATTATCATTAGAGATTTCCTGGGGAGGTGATATATATTAGAAAAAAAATGTGTTACAAAAATTGACCTATGTAGTTGTATTGAAGGATGATATATGCTTAGTTCAGTGGCTGATAACACATAAACACTAGGTAGAATTTTTATCATTATCATTAGAGATTTCCTGGGGAGGTGATATATATTAGAAAATAAAATGTGTTACAAAAATCGACCTATGTAGTTTGTATTGAAGGATGATATCTGCTTAGTTCAGTGGCTGATAAGTATCTATCCTTCATATTAGTCCAGGGAACCATTTTCAAACTTTTACTTTTATGGAGTTTCCCTGTAAATTTATTTTGTCGATAATCAAGCTGAAAAGCTTTGATCTTTTTCTATTAATATTCTTAGAATTTCCTGAACAATCAAGTTCCATGAAGTCAATATGTTGTATCATCTCTGTTTCTGAATCACATTTTATGAACCTTACACAGTGATCTCTCTTATAACAACTTCAGCATCAGAAACATTGAGCAGCCGACTTGTCAACAGGGAAGCGTGTAAGATTCCTAGAATTTTTGTACTTTTTTCTTCATTTTTATCTCTCTTTTTGTTTTGTAGTTTTAAGAAACTACTACTAGAGCCTTGACCATTTACCATATGCTATAGGAACTTGTTTGCATCCTCCTTGAAAGGAAACAGCTTGTAAGTTTGATATTCTTAATGCTAAATTTTTGGATTACGTATTAACAAGTTTTATACAGGTTATAATGTGTACTGACCCCCTCCCCCCCTTTTTTTGTCAGAGGAAATGTTTCCTGTTTGTCAAACATTCAATGCCCTAAAAGTAAGTTGATTTATCTTTGATTCCATATAGACTGTTAAGTATTACTTTAACATTTGAAACTGACGATTTTAATGTATTTATATATTTTGAGTTTGAGGTACAACAGAAAAGGGATAATTATCCTTACACTAGATTGCCATTCTTCTATATCAAAAGCTTGTTCTACGATTCTAAACTTCATTAACGAGTTAAAATGATTTTAGAAAACTGAAGAAGTGGAATATTGTCTTACGTAACTAAGCATGTCTTGATGCCTTTAGTTATTTGAACCACCTTTTTTGTCAGTATTGTATAGGGTCTATTTCCATTAGTTTTCCCTGCATTCCTTTTGGAAGTATTTGTCAATAATTGCTAGAAATTGTGATTAGGAACGCTGATGGCTTAGGATTTAATTGATAAGAACTGGGGCTTTCTTGGGTTTAAAGCACAAGTGCCAATGTTTGGGTGCTGCGAAGAACACCTTTGAAAAAACAATAAGAATATTGCCATAAATATTTAAAAAATAAAAAGAATTCTAATATTCTAACACAAATGAACTAATAATGACCAAAGAGAAATATCAACAAACTTAAGGTTTGAAAACTTTATTTTTTCCTTTTTTCTTTTTAATTTCTAACAACCAACAGCTCATTTGCTTGTTCAATGATTAAATGAGGTTCCTTTTATAGATTGAAGAAGTTTTGGATGTTGGAGATGATGTGGTGTTGATTCTAGCCTTTCATGATGCCAGATTTTTAATTTAACTGTTAGGCCTCGAACTGGTGTGTTTCCGAGTTTAGTTCCAGATTGCCTACTGTTGGCGTTATTTAAGTTCTGGAGTACTGATATATTGATTTTTATTTAATCAAGCACAATAATATACATATCAACAAGCGTAACTTAACCTTGAGTGCATAGGCATGATCTTAACATAAGCCCCGTTATCTCATGAAGCTCATGTAGTGTTCATAAACAAAAATTCTTAGGATGAAAACAAAGCACATGTACATCACAAAGCAATGCAATATCTATATTAAGTAATTATAGAACTCTACCTAGCACATATCATACTTCATTTTGCGTTGTTAAGAAAAGTCAACTTATACTTAATGGTCAAACTCAAAACCACTATTTTCCTTCATCCCTAAAAGGATTGAAAAAAAGGGGGTTAACGTTAAACCAATTTTATAATGTGGTTTATAATGGTAATCATTTCCTTAAGTAGTTACTAACCAATTTCTACTTGTCCCAGCTTCGTACTCTCTTTATATAAATTGTGGTGGAAAGCTTGTAACTTCTTATGGAAATAAGACATACGATGATGACTCGGGTGAGACTGGACCAGCAAGATTTCGTCAAAGTGGAACAAACTGGGCACTTATCAATGCTGGTCATTTCTTTGATAGTGGTCGCTCAGACTACTATAAGTGGTCTAATACAACTAAGCTTGCGGTGGATAATGCTAATCTGTACATGGATGCCCGTGTTTCTCCTAATTCTTTGACTTACTATGGATTTTGCCTGGGAAATGGAAACTACACAGTAAATCTTCATTTTGCAGAAATAATGTTCACTGATGATAAAACATATAGCAGCCTTGGAAGACGTGTATTTGACATCTATGTTCAGGTGCATGTTTTCATCATTTTCCTACCTTGATCAACCACGTTAAATATTGAACAAATTGGGTAGTAGTCTCTTTGGGGACATCATGATACCAGATTCAAATACTTTAGCAGAAACATTGACATAAACCAAATTTTCTCGCAAGTCATAACCAAGTTATAGAATGAAATAAGAATGTAAAATTGTGCTCTACAATATTTTTGACATCATTTCCAGGCTGATAACCAACCATCTAATAGATTATTGTTTGGATTTTGTAATACAGAGAAAGTTGGTAGTTAAGGATTTCAATATTGCAAAAGAAGCAGGGGGTGTTGGTGAGGCAGTCATAAAAAATTTCACTGCTGTTGTGACTAGTAATGCTTTGGAGATCCGCTTATATTGGGCTGGGAAAGGGACAACTTCTATCCCATTTGGATCAGTTTATGGTCCACTTATATCAGCTATATCAGTTGATCCTGGTAAGTTGTACTTCTCTAAAGTTTCTTAGTTTCTGCCATCACCTGTATCATCTAATCTAATGTAATTCTTAATAATCACACAGACTTTACACCACCATCGGAAAATGGTAATAGCATACCTGTAGGGGTTGTGGTTGCAATTGTGGTTTCTGGAGCAATTATTATCATCTTGGTAATTGGTATACTGTGGTGGAAGGGCTGTTTAGGACTGAAAAGATCAGTGGCCAGAGGTAATCAATTTAACCTGATTGTCAATATTTTGAGTGAAACATTAAGTCTTGCGCATTAAAATGGGATTTTGAATGTGTGGACGTAAATTTGTTTCTGTAACTTATTGTTTCGGTATGTATTTAGTTGAACTAATCATCTTACTTAACTATTTTGCTAACCCTTGAAGAAAGTAACAGCAATGGGATGATGGATCCGATGAAGCCATTTGTTTTCCTAATATAAGAGATCTCTTATTTTTGTTTGCTTCTATTGACAGAGCTAAAGGATTTAGAATCAAAAACTGGCTTATTTACCTTACGACAAATCAAAGCAGCAACAAACAACTTCGATAAAGCCTTCAAGATTGGAGAAGGAGGATTTGGTCCCGTTTACAAGGTATATTCCATCAGAACCCACCACTTTTGCTTGATCATGAAGATTTGAAATGATGATTTCCAACTTTTCAAAATCTGTATACCATTCCGCAAAATTCAGGGCATTTTGTCAGATGGCACAATAGTAGCTGTTAAGCAGCTTTCTTCTAAATCAAGGCAAGGGAATCGTGAATTCATAAATGAGATAGGCCTGATTTCTGCTTTGCAACACCCGTGTCTAGTTAAGCTTTATGGCTGTTGTATGGAGGAGGATCAATTGTTGCTGATATATGAATACATGGAAAACAATAGCCTTGCTCGTGCTTTATTTGGTAATTGTTTTTGACTGTCTGAAGTTTCATGTCTGTTTCTGTAATAATGTACAATCTTGTACATGTAACTTATGTTCATATGGTACTGTTGTCTAATTTCCATCACAGACATAAATGACGAGCCTGAGAAATGTCAATTGAAATTGGACTGGCCAACAAGGCAGAGGATTTGTGTTGGTATTGCTAAAGGCTTGGCATACCTTCATGAAGAGTCAAGACTGAAGATAGTTCATAGGGACATCAAGGCCACAAATGTTTTGCTGGATAAAGATCTCAACCCAAAGATATCTGATTTTGGTTTGGCCAAGCTCAATGAACAGGACAATACCCACATAAGCACCAGAATAGCTGGCACTTAGTGAGTTCCTATATTTTTTATTATTCATTGATCTTTATTGAGCGATATTTTGGACACATCATCATACTATGACGAATAAAATTTTCATTCTTCAACTTATCATGGTTTATTAAAAATTAAATATGACCTTCAGTTACTGTAATTGATAAATGTTTAAATTTTGCAGTGGGTACATGGCTCCTGAGTATGCAATGCATGGTTATTTGACGGACAAAGCAGATGTTTATAGTTTCGGAATTGTAGCATTGGAAATTGTTAGTGGGACAAGCAACACCATTAGCCAGCCTAAAGAAGAATGCTTCTCTCTACTTGATTGGGTAAATTATGTTCTCATACATTGCATTCATGCCAATCTGATTTTGAGAATATCGAGCATAGTTGTGTATGTTATGTATAAAACTATACAACGAATTTCGTTCATGTTAATTACCAAGAGACAAGAGGTATTCATTGTAATCCTTGTTGTATTAAACTACACAACATTGGTGCTATTATATAGCAAACCAATTGAAGAATACAAAGAGACACACTCAATGTGGGACTTCTACACTATTAACACTAACACTCTTAACATTCCCCCTCAAGCTGTAGCATATAGATCATATGCTACAAGCTTGATACATAAATAATACTCCCATTAGGAACCAAAAACAACAATGCTACGTCTACGAAATGAAATGACTAAGTACAACAAATCAACTGGAATGACCATCAGTGTGAAGAGCTGATAAAGAGACAGTGCTGGAATGGACATCAGAGCATGGATGGTGCCGGAATTATCATCGGCAAAGACAACTGAGCTGACCAGGACATCAGCATCAAGATCCATCTCAGACATTTCATTTAACAGTTGGTGAGCAGCCGTGGTTTCCCCTTGACTATGCTATAAGCTTATCACAAGAAAGACCAAGTAACATAACATCAAAATAAATCTCCTAAATGAGAAACCAAAAATCAACAATGTGCTAAAAATAGCGTTGAAATGAACATCAACATGGAAGATGCCGGAATGATCATCGGCAAAGACAATTGTGCTGGAATGACCATCAGCAACATGGACGGTGCTCCCCCTCAAGAGGAACTTTTAAACAGTGCCGGAATTATCATCGGCAAAGACAATTGTGCTGGAATGACCATCAGCAACATGGACAGTGCTCCCCCTTAAGAGGAACTTCTAAACAGTGCCGGAATTATCATCGGCAAAGACAATTGTGCTGGAATGACCATCAGCAACATGGACAGTGCTCCCCCTCAAGAGGAACTTCTAAACAGTGCCGGAATTATCATCGGCAAAGACAATTGTGCTGGAATGACCATCAGCAACATGGACAGTGCTCCCCCTCAAGAGGAACTTCTAAACAGTGCCGGAATTATCATCGGCAAAGACAATTGTGCTGGAATGACCATCAGCAACATGGACAGTGCTCCCCCTCAAGAGGAACTTCGGTGTCGGAATTAACATCAACAGAGACAACATCAGCAACTTGGACAGTGCTCCCCCTCAAGATGGATGATGAATAGTATAAATACTCCATCTTGGGAAGAAAGAAGATTAAAGAAAAACAAAGCTTCGCGGAATCGAAAAAGTCGCCGGAGACGGCGGTGGGTCGTCGGAAAAGTCGTCGGAGACGGTGGTGGATCGCCGAAAAAGTCGCCGGAAAGTCATCGGAAAAGTCGCCAGAGACGGCTGTCAACGGTGGACGACGCGGTCAACGGTGGTCGGTCAACGACAACGGTGGTCAACCCAACAACTTCCCAAGGATCATTCTTTTCTGATGTGACAGATCAGTCTAAGCTGTAGTCACAGAGCATACTAAGAAAAACCCGAAAAAGAAATAGCAACGGGAATCCCTCAAGGAGGGTATATCTCTCTATAACCATATTGAAATTATGGAAAATAGAACTAAGTTAAACGGATTAAGATTCCTCTTGTTAGGCTCTAGATACCATGTTAATTACCAAGAGACAAGAGGTATTCATTGTAATCCTTGTTGTATTAAACTACACAACATTGGTGCTATTATATAGCAAACCAATTGAAGAATACAAAGAGACACACTCAATGTGGAACTTCTATACTATTAACACTAACACTCTTAACAGTTCAATTTTCATCTTTTGACACCATTGAAGGGAAATACAGCATATAGCTACCATATCTCTATAATAACTGTTGTAATGTCCCGAATTGAATATATCCGGGCATTATCAATTTTTTGTCTTTTGTGAAATTGTGGCATGGCATCTGGCGGAAAATATGATAAATTATTTCTCTGTAAAATCTGTATGCTAGGAGTCTATGGTTTTAAGTTATGCTGGAAAAGACTTCTTATATACTATATTTCCTATATACCTATAAAACTCTGCACCTTAAATTTAATGGCTTGTTTGCTTCAACTGAGAATTGAAATTGGAATCAAACGGCTATTTGCATTTTACAATGCCAGGTGCATATCTTGAAAGAAAGAGGTAATCTTATGGAGCTTGTGGATAAGAGGTTGGGTGAAGACTTCAATAAAGAGGAGGTAATGGTGATGATCGATGTGGCTCTTTTATGCACTAATGTTTCTCCAACTCTCAGGCCCACCATGTCTTCAGTGGTAAGCATGCTTGAAGGTAGAACCGTTGTTCAAGAGGTGGTGTCAGACACAAGAGAGGTATTGGATGATAAGAAATATGAGATGATGCGAGAGTATTATCACCCCAGAGGAGAAAATAGCACAACTGAGACTCAGAACCAGAGTGTCCCAACAGATGAAACTTCTGTTATTATATCTGATACAGATTCTTCTTGCGAGAAAATCAAAAGTTAGAGAAAATGTAGAAATTGCATTAATGTTAATGTATATGAAATGTACATCTTGCCATTGTTTTATGTATTTTTAATATTTTTTCTTCAATATCCCTTTGATGCTTGTCAGATGCCACCATAATGTTTCTCCTTTTCTTGCTAGAGAGGTGGAAATATCTGGCATGGAAGTTGTTTTATTTTGCTTAGTATACATCATGGTATATTCTACTAATAAAGGTGATTATAACGTTAAAAACAAGCATATGCAAAATCCATTTATTGGGTAAAATCCAGCATGAAAACGTTTGGTTTCATTTTTCAAACTGCAGTCAAAAAAGGATGTCAAGATAAGGTTTTAAGATCTGAATAAGGGTATAAAGAAGTGTGCATAACAAATTGTAATAGAAATTAACATGTGGGGGGGAACTTGGCAAGTATTTTTCTATTACTTTTTTTTGGTAGAGGGAGAAAAAAAAGGCTTTTGGATACCGCAAATAGAAAGGTAAGTGTTCTAGGTCGGATTTCAGATTTAGGCCCAACAAGGAGTGCTCATCCAAGGCTGTACATGGAGTTAGTTGAGGAGTGCAAAATAATAACTTAGGAATTGTATTAGGAGAGGGTTACGTCTACAAATTTTTTTTGTTTACAACTCTTACAACCTCAGCTATGTTCTCCCGGGAAAACACTCTTCATTAGTGTTTTCCCGGGAGAACATAGTTGAGGTTGTAAGAGTTGTAAACAAAAAAAGTTGTAAATGTAACCTGCCTCATTGTATTATGATATTTTTATATTTTTATTTGTTTTGTAGAATAGTAAATGAAATAGGAGTTTTCTTTTATGTTTTTTGTTTTGAAAGTTAAAAGTGAAAACACAAAATAAAAATAACTCAAATATGTTTTTTAAATTTGATTTAAAATAAAAAGTTATAATTTTTTAAAAAAATTTTTTACAATGCAAGCCTTATCAAACGAATGCACATTCACCACGTGCATCCTTGAAGATGAGTTTCAGTTTGCGAAATTGCAATGCATGTGCGACACGCGTCCAGGAAAATGTTCATTTAATTGTATTAGAGTACAACTTAAAAATAATCATGGAGAAACATTCAATTTATACATGAAATTTGAAGATAAACAAGCAAAATGACAGAAAGAGTTGTCTGCATTCAAAAATTTATGAAAATTCGAAACCTTAGCCAAATGACTTGAAATTTTTATAGTAGAAAGTAGACCTCTGGAGCTTCAAAATGACATAAAATTTTCCTCATTTCGAGGTCTAAAACTCCAGAAATAAATTTTCTAAAATGGCAGGCAGACTTTGACTTCAACCAGAATTCTGACTAGTTATTGTATAAAGAGTTTCAAAACACAAATCCCTTACAATAATATTTTGTCCTCGCCTGATTTAACAGAATATCAAGTTCCTAAAAGTCCAGTTTCCATTTAGATTTAATCCATGGATTAGAGTCTTGGTTGAAGTGGCGTTTTCTACACATACTAAAACCCTAATTGTGTTTAGATTTAAACCATGGATTAGAGTCTTGGATAAGGGAAATTAAGGTTCTTAATCATACTCATTATTAATTTAACTAGTTGTTATGACATGCTTACCTTTGAAAATATGAGGACCACCAAATTGTAAACTTGCGAACATTTATTTTCCTTATATAATTTATTGCAAATAAAATTTGCACATCACTGCACATATAATTTATTTTTCATATGCAGGCAACAGTTAATTGTATAATACCTCCAGGGAATAAACTTTTGTTATAGAATGGAGGGATTATGGAATTACAGTCATGGGAAGGTAAAGAAAATTTTTAATGACAATAACAATAATTTGGGTTAGATTTTTCATCTTTTATTATTTCTACGTGTATCTTTAGAATTATATACATAAGTGCTTAAGATTTTAATTTTTTCTTATGTGCCTAATATTATATTACATTATGTTATGTATCTAGTGTTGTATTATATTATGTTATCTACCTAATATTATATTATATTATGTTAGTTTTTTTATTACATTGAAACCGACCTACTGCTGTGATATCTAGTTTTAAACATGTTACTATTTTTATTTCTCCTAGAACAATATCTTGCCAGGGAGTTATTTAATTTTATTTTTCACATCAAATGCAAAGAATGACATGGATTATTTCATTTTTAGAATTGATCACTTATCTCAAAGTTTTTGTGACATGTAGTTTACATTGGCTCTATCACATTTTATATTTTAGTATTTGCAGGTGTAAATAATTTTATCAGTATTGACTTTAAATTGAAATCTCAATTAACATTCACTAGTGTGAGAAATTTTAGTGATTTGCACTATATTACAAAAAAATTATGAAAAGATCTTATAAAAATATTGAACAATTTAAAATATTTCATTTTAGTAGGCCTGATAGGCATAAAGGCCAGGCCAATCCTTGTAATTTTAAAAAATAGGCCAGGTCATACCAATGTTTTAGCTTGCACCAAGTTAAAATGCTAGACTCGAAATATTTTACACAAACTTATCTTATTCAGACTAAAGTCTGACTTGGCCTGACCCATTTATACCCGAAGCACAAATAACAAGGTATTATCTAAGGAGCTATGATGCGAACCTCTCAAGCCCTGTAGAATCAAGGGAGATGGGATCTAGTGCTCTGGATCATGACATGCATCAGGACGGTGAAGAGGTAAGGATAAGAACAGGGAGTAGGAGGAGAAGACGACCAGAGTGGCTCAGTGACTTTGTCACTGTCTCTCCCACACGTGGCTAAGTGAAGCGGTGATAGAAGAGATGAGAAAGTGGGCTCAAGTCATTTAGGAGCCCAACTACTTGTTAAGTCCTTAAGGGAAATAATGGGCCTAGCCCTACTGCAGCCCAATAGTATTACAATTTACAATCTGTTATTTTACTAGTTTGTTATGCACTTTATATAGGAGGGAAAAGGAAGGCATGGGTCTTTTGTCAATTATCTGTAACAAACTCTCAATTTCTCTCTTGCTAACTTTCTGGAGTTGCCGGCGTTTCTGGAATTGCCGTTGATAATATACCACTGTTTCATTGTTATTTCAATTTAGTTCCTGTTCAGATAGTTTAATCTATCAATCTGGTGCTTTCATTGAGAGACACTTCCGTAATTGAGATGGCGGAGGGAACTCGCTCAACTGTAAAGGGAGATCTGATGGAGGAATGTATTTCCAGACTCGCTAAGCATGATGAACAGTTCAATGCATTAAGTGAGTTACTCCAAAGTATGAACCTGAAACTCACATTAATGGAAGCAAAACTAGATCAGAATCAGAAATTCAAGGGAGCGCATAAGGGGGAATCAAGCCCAGATGCAGGCCTTAACACTTTTTTTGGTACCAATGCATACAAGTCAGTTAAGTTCACGGTACCCAGGTTTACTGGTGGGAATCCAGAACCTTGGATCCATAAAATCCAACAATTCGGATCCAACTGACATTGACGTCATTTCAGATGGATGGCACTGCCGAAGATTGGTTCCACTGGATGGAACGTAACCACCGCTTGACTACATGGGACTCGTTTGTGAACGCCTTGAGGTCCAGGTTTGGTCCTTCTAAATACCGCGATCTACGTGGGGAGTTAGGACGATTAGCCCAGCAGACAACAGTAGAGGAGTATCAGAAGCTGTTCGAACAATTGTGCAATCAGATTGTAGGGATTGATGATCTTACCTTACAAAGCTACTTCGAATCCGGGTTGAAGACCGAAATCAGGAAGGAGGTTCGATTACACTTGCCTGAATCCTTAGAAGATGCCATTAGCTTGGCCAAGGTGGTTGAGGATAAGCTCACTGACCGAGCTCCATCCCGTTTTGGACCCTATCGAAATTTTACCAGTAACAATTCATCTAATCAGCCAGGATTACTGCCCACACCAGCAAATGGAATAGTACCCTATACTCCACCATCAAAGACCAACATCCCCATCAAACGTTTATCTTCTGCTGAAATGGCAGAGAAGAGGGAGAAAGGGCTATGTTATTACTGTGAGGAGAAGTTCCATAGGAATCATAAATGCAAAGGACAAATGTTCCTCCTATTGATCCAGGATGAGGACGAAGATGAGATAGAAGTTGAGCTGGAGGTTACTAACGAGAAGATTGGGGGTGATGATGAAATACCTGGAATTAGTCTTCATGCCATGGCTGGGCAGTATTCATCCAGTACCCTACGACTGAAGGGGCTGATTAATAAGAAGCCAGTGCAGGTGTTAGTAGATGGTGGTTCAACACAACTTTGTCCAGGAGCGCATGGTGAAATTTCTGGGATTAGAGGTTCAGCCCATACCTCCATTCAGGGTGCTGGTTGGCAGTGGAGAGAGTCTAGGATGTAGTGGGGTTTGCCAGAAGGTTGAGTTGGAATTACAAGGCCATATGTTCCCTTCAGACTTGTTTGTGTTGCCAATTCAAGGAGCGGAGGTAGTGCTGGGGGTTCAATGGTTATCCTTATTGGGAGATATCACCACAAATTATAAGAAGCTGCACTTGAAATTTAAGAAAAACGGGCAAGTCATTCAGTTGCAAGGGGAACCACGGCTACAAGTAGACACAATTGAGCTACATCAACTCCGCAGGCTAACCAATTCAGATGCAGTGGCTACTTACTATCAACTTCAAGCAATCCAGCAGGAGCCACCACTGGAACAAGGTAGTAAAGAGTGCCACAGTCCAGCGATACAACAATTGTTGCAAGAATATGAAGATGTATTTGCTACTCCTCAACAGTTGCCACCTGTCCGCGTAGAAGACCATCAAATCCATTTGGAACCTGGCACAAAAGCAGTGAATGTTAGACCATACAGGTATCCTTACTTCCAAAAATCTGAAATAGAAAAAATGGTGCAGGACATGCTTGATTCAGGGGTTATCAGACCGAGTCTAAGCCCATTTTCCTCACCAGTGCTCTTAGTAAAAAAAAAGATGGAACGTGGAGGTTTTGTGTTGACTATAGAGCCCTAAATCAAGTTACTGTGCCCAACCGATTTCCCATTCCCACTGTGGACGAAATGCTTGATGAACTAACAGGAGCGGTAGTGTTCTCCAAGTTGGATCTCTGTTCAGGATACCATCAAATTCGAATGGCTCCCCAAGACATATACAAGACAGCCTTTCGAATGCACCAGGGGCACTATGAATTTCTGGTGATGCCCTTTGGGCTCACAAATGCTCCTGCAACCTTTCAGGGCATTATGAACTCAGTATTGAAGGAGTTCCTACGCAAGTTTGTGATTGTTTTTTTTTTGACGATATTCTGATCTACAGCAAATCATAATGGGACCATGTTACTCACTTAAGGCTAGTGCTAGAGTGTCTTCGCAAACATCAACTGTATGCCAAGCGCTCCAAATGCTCTTTTGGTCAGGAGGAAATAGGTTACTTGGGACATATAGTTGGTGCTCAGGGAGTCAGACCAAATACTGAAAAGATACAGGCCATCATGGATTGGCAATCACCCACCACATTAAAACAGTTAAGAGGCTTCCTAGGATTGGCGGGGTACTACCGCAAATTTGTTCGCGATTTTTCACAGATTGCAGCCCCTTTGACAGCATTATTACGCAAGGATGCTTTTGGGTGGGATGACACGGCTAAAAGAGCAATGTGGGAATTAAAGGGGGCCCTCTCTAATCCCCCCATATTGGCACTTCCGGATTTCACTAAAAAGTTCGTGCTAACCACAGATGCTTCTGGGGTAGGGATTGGAGCTGTATTAAGCCAAGACAATCTACCCATTGCCTATTTTAGCAAGAAACTAAACTCTAGGATGCAGCAAGCCTCCACCTATGTAAAAGAGATGTTTGCGATCACGGAAGGGGTCTCTAAGTGGAGATAATACCTCTTAGGAGGGCCATTTACAATCAGGACCGACCAAAGAAGCATCAAGGAAATGATGGGGCAGGTCATACAAACCCCGGAGCCGCAACGTTTTCTGATCAAGCTATTGGGATTTGACTACAACATCGAATACTACCCTGGAGCTGCCAATAAGGTAGCAGATGCTCTTTCTCGGAGACCTACGGAGGAATCTTGCATCAAAGATACAACCGGATGTGTTATGGCCCTTACCACTGTGACTAATAACCTGTTGGCACAAATCAAAACAGAAAATCAGACTCATCCAGAACTATTATAGCTACGGGAACATGTTGAACGGAGTACAATAGGATTTGAGCATTACACTTGGCGTGAGGGGCTCCTCCTCTACAAAGGACGAATTGTGGTAGCATCCAATTCAGACCTTCGGATCAACATCCTGCATGAATTTCACTCCTCATTAATAGGCGGGCATGGAGGTGTCAAACGAACATTACACAGAGTCATGGCTGTTTATTTTTGGCCCCACCTGAAACAAGACATCCAAGAATTTGTGAGGACTTGCCCTGTGTGTCAGGTAACAAAATATCAGCCCATGTCACCAGCTGGACTCCTCCAACCTTTAGTCATTCCGCGTGCCATTTGGGAAGACATCTCCATGGACTTCATAATCGGATTGCTCAATTCAGATGGGAAAACTGCTATTATGGTGGTGGTGGATCGCCTCTCCAAGTATGCTCACTTTGTAGCTCTCCCTACTAACTTCACTGCCACAAAGGTAGCTTCGGTTTTCATTGACACCATTTACCGTCTCCATGGGATTCCACGCTCCATTGTCTCAGACAGGGACCGGATCTTTGTCAGTAAATTTTGGTCTGAATTGGCAAGGTTGAGTGACACCAAACTCTGCTACAGCACGGCTAATCACCCTGAAACCGATGGGCAAACAGAAGTCACGAATAGGGGATTAGAGCAATACTTGCGTTGCTATACTATGGAGACCCCAAATCAGTGGGTAAAGTTTTTACCTTGGGCGGAATTCTCCTACAACACAGCGTACCATTCTTTCGTTGAATTTTCTCCGTTTCAGATAGTATATGGTCGGCCACCACCAGGTATACAGCCGTACGGAGGGGGGACCACATCAGTAGAGGCCGTGGAATCTCTATTATCTCAGAGAGATATGATCCTACGCCAACTACGGGAGAATTTGCACCGTACTAGACAACGCATGAAGGCTCAGGCGGACAAGAAGCGCAGGGATGTCCAATTTGGAGTGGGTGATCTCGTGCTGGTGAAGCTCCGTCCCTACCGTCAACGATCTGTGAGAAATCAGTCCTTCTCCAAACTGCGCCGCCGGTTCTATGGGCCATTTCCCATCATTGAGCGTGTCGGTTTGGTAGCTTATCGTCTGCGTTTACCAGAACAGTCCCGCATCCACCCCGTATTCCATGTGTCCCTTCTCAAGGCTTATCGGCAAAACCCAACCTTCCATCCTGCTCTGTTACCGTCAGTCAGCTGGGACAACCATCCCGTTGTCAATCCTATCGCTGTGCTTCGTACTCGAGTGTTGCGCCATGGACAAGAAGAAATTTTGCAGCTTTTGGTCCAATGGGACAGTTTGCCACTCGAAGACGCCACTTGGATTTCCTATTCAGAGTTTTGCCAAGCCTTTCCCAACTTCGATCTTGAGGGCAAGATCGTTTCTTTGAGTAAGGGGGGAAATGATTGACACGAGCTGTCGAACTCGCGCAAATTAAAAATTAATTCTTTAGGGTTCAGAAAATTTTTGCAGTAAAGTGCAAACCCTAAGTCGTCTCTCAAGGAAATTGTTTGGGTAAAAATCGCTTATGATGACAGAAAATAAAAGGGGGGTTTTGGATTTTGATTCAATAATTAAAAAGGCAGAATGTAAAATTGTATGTAAAATTCGTAATTAAAAATAACCAACCTAAGGTTTGGGTTCCATGGACGTCTTTCCTCGGATAAGAGGATATCAGAATCGTGATTGATTTGTCAATCGAATCAGAATCCTTATTTCCAATTGACAACCCTCTCTAAGCGATCGCTTAGCATTTGATCAAAGACGATGCTTCTACTCATACAATCGCAGAGTATCAGCCCGCTTGATTTAAGGTCATAGGGTCAATCAACCTAATCATCAAATCTGATGATTAATCCCTTTTCATAATCGCAATTGCGAACCTCAGATTGAATATCCACGATCGCACGATATCAATCTGAGTTGGGAGGGGAAACAAAACTAATTTGAAATAAACGCAGATCCTCAAGACTAATCCATGGAATCCATTACCCTTAGGTTGATTAAAAGGTTCTTAGCCTCGCATGGCTAAGGTAAACATAATTCAAAAAATAAGAAGAAGAAGAACGCAATTGAATAAAAACTCAGAGAGAACTTCTCTGTTGTAAAAACTGACTGCTAAAGGGTTTCCTAGAGTCTCCCTTAAATAGCCGTCACGCAGGACGGCTAGGGTTTCATCGCTTCAGCCCAAACATAAAATAAAAGCTGAATAAAATAAAATAATAAAACATGGCCTTGGGCCCTAAACACATTGGGTCCTAATGAAAATTACAAGTTCAAACGTCAAAATAAAATTCCAGTAAAACACGTCATCTTGAGATCAAGTTTCGACCATCTTCCCGTTCGAATTGGGCTTCAGTAGCTGAAATAGCAATTGTAGCCCTATTTGTTAGCTGCGAAAAGCAACAAGAACAGAGTCAATCGGACATCTGTAGAGTGAGATATGGTCAAAATACAGAAGTAGTATAAATCTGGAAAATTATGACGAAAATCAATTAAACTCAACTAAAATCTAGAATTGTGAATTAACCCAAAAGACCTTTATTTAATTCAAATAAATCATAAAAATACCAACCAAGAGTAATAAATAAGTGTAACAAAATATGAGTTATCAAATTCCTCCACACTTATCTTTTTGCACTCCTGGGCAAAAACAAACTAAAATTTAAAGCAAAGACTAAGATCAACCAATCCTTTCTAACAACTATGAAGCATACAGAAAATATACAAAGATCACAAGTCTTCCACAGGTAAATCAATCAGGACAGAAATTCCCTAATCTCAAATCACAAGACCTGCTAACTGCAACTGCTAACTGCACAAAAATGGTTCCTCACAAGATGCTCTCAATTTTTCTCTCAAGTGTATCAGTTAATTCAGTATATCACTCAAATCAACTCAAGAAAATCATCCTACCATAGGCTTGCTCAAGTTCTACTTCTCCACTGCTCATAACACATGCATGCACAAATCAAGAGGGCTTTATGCAGGGTTGTAATGGGGCTGAGGTAAAGGTATGGATGAATATGGAAGAGAAAGCTAAACACCCCAGAATTTTACAAAGAGAAAAAGTTAAGAACTAAACTAAGAACATAAAACAAAGATACTGAAAAGATAAACACTTTTTTTTTCTTTTTTTCTTTTTTTTTGTTTTTTTTTCTCTTTTTTGTTTTTTTTTTTGTTTTTTGTTTTTTTGTTTTGAAGAAGTAAAACCACATAGCAGAAATGAATCAGATGGTCACCCCCCACACTTAAACTTTTGTCCGTCTCGGGCAAACCCCCACACTTAAACACAACATCACAATGAAACCAATGCTCAGTAAAACTCCAGGGTGTGGAATTAATTGGTTTTTCACTTAGGCTTGTAATGCGGCTTAAGAAATAAAAGATATAAAGGCTCAAAGGGGCTCACCAAGGGATAATAATATAATGGACGGCTATCTGGCTAAAGTGGGTACAGAAAAGAAAGAATGCCTCAATCATGTTCATGCATGCAAGTGAAAAATGCAGTTTCAAAAAGAACAAGAGCAAGTTCTAGAGGACAACAATCAAGAGCAGAAACACACAAGAAAGAAAGCATGGCCAGAAGATATGCCATGTATGCAGGCTCAAAACCTCACAAAGGTAAACCAAGTCATGCAATCAACAACACAGAATCAATCAACAGGTAGTTGTAATCCAAGAATCGAGATCAAAGCCCAACAAATTTATGCTATCAAACACTGTGATCTATGTCTACTCTATGTACCACTCAATAATTACCAGAAAGAAAAGGAAAATCTACCTATGAAAAATCATAAACTAAAAGAAAGAAAGGAAAAGAAAAATAAAAATGCAAATAACAGAAAGAAAAAAAAAAGTCAAAAACTAAAAGAAAGAAAGGAAAAGAAAAATAAAAATGCAAATAACAGAAAGAAAAGAAAAGGAGGGAAGAGAACTCCCTGAACTCCCTAAGGAGAATAAACAGCATCAAACAGCCTGATTTCTGCCTCACTGGTTTAACACCTTCAAGTAAAATGCGGTGCATGCACATGGAAGGGCTGATTCCCACATTATCTGCTAAAGTCCATCCAATTGCCTTTTTATTTTCTTTCAGCAATGTCAGAAGCTTTACCTCCTGCTCAGGTAGAAGGTACTTGGCCACTATCACAGGTAACTGCTCATTTTCCTCAAGAAATGCATATTTCAAGTGGTCGGGCAGAACCTTCAACTCCAATTTCGGAGGCTGCTCAATGGATGGAAGAGGTGTAGTTGGTGGTGCAAATTCTGCAGAAAACAAGTCAGCAGCAATGCCTGTAAACAAATTCTCAGAAACAGAATTAGGATCATCAATAATATCAGCAGGCAATTCAGAAAGTGCATATTCACACTCAGAATCAGATTCATCAATAAGTGCATCGTTAAAACCAGAAAGATGTGATGCTATTTCAGCACACACAATGCACTCTTGACTATCACTACAATCACAGAAATCAGAACCATGAATAGATGAAAAATCAGTAAGGAATTCAGGAGAAAAATCCTCAACAACTTCATCTATCACATCAATGCAGAAAACAAGATGATCAGATGTATCAGTGCTCTGCTTCTTGGAGCTAGTGTCACTTCCCTTAGATGACTCAGCAGCAGTGTGGTTTGGCTCCTCCATATGCTTGCCAGACCGTAGAGTAATAGCACTCACATTTCCGCTTCCTTTT